GTTTTAAATTCATAACCTCACTGGTAAGAGACTGATGTTTCTGTTTTATGAAAGGCGTACAGCCCATTGCGCACAGTTCTCTCCGAATTCCACATGGGCGAAAGCCAATCCGCTCAGGTTTTTTTTTTTCCTCTAACAACCACTTGCTTCATTGCCATGAGACAGGCCACCGGAGCGCATTCAGCAAGCCCTACCACAACCCTTATCCGTAACTCCGTGTGACCGTGCAGAGTGGAGAATCCAGAGTTAAACGAGATCCTCTTATTTCTGCTTAAGAATCTTTCAAGTGAAACAGCATCGATGACATTGTGTGATCAAAACCGTTTTCCAATCGAGATATGCCAAGCAAAGTTTATCTGGAATTAAACAAATACTTCATATCTGAAAAAAACCTTACAAAATACCTCTACTCACCAGTTCCATTTCTTCTGCAGTCGGTGTCAGAACTGGCATGCTATTCAGTTCCACGATAAAGAATGACTGAACCTGGGATGCTCCTACAGCCTAGTTAGCTCTTTCCGACTTCTCTGCGCCTTTCAAAGGACTGCACAAACGTTCAACCGGGAAAAGAAAGGTCTCGACACGTCTGGCTGAGGAAATGTGCAAGGTGAGCAGGTGCCAGGAAGGATTCAACATGTCCAAGTATTTCAAGTTTGATTTGCAAATCTGTCCTTCAGCTTTTGCTATTTGTTTGTCTAGAATCAACGTATCATGCCCTCCACAAAAAAGATGATTACTAAAATCCAGTGGATTTATAATGGGATCAACTACAACTGTCCCTTGGTTTAACGGCAATTCTCCCTCCATTAATGCCTTCTAAGCATTACCATGTTCGATACATTAACGATCCAAACTCATGATATGCCAGTTTTGTTGTTATTTTCAACATCAAATTTTATTACTTTACAGAGATCTACTTGGACACATTTCTTAACAGCATTCTTAGACTTTGAAAAAGTGTGCTGTAAGTGCTTGGCTTTTTCATAGGGGAGGGACACATACCTGGATTTAATTACAGAAGGACAATTTAAGTGTTCGCAATCTTTTATGCTTCCAGCATCCCTAAAATAGCATCCCGTTTTCTTTTGAAGCGCAAGTCATCTTTATTTCCAAATTGATTTCAGCTGTAAGAACCTATGCCATGCTCCTCTTGGACATGGACGAATTTAAATTTAACCTTTACCTTCAGTGCTTGGAATCTCTCCATGGCAATGGCAGATTTTCAACAATATTCCAGGGCTCAGGTCTGTGGAGCTCATCTCCTCCCCCCTCCCGCCCCAGCCCTTCCATCTTACTGAAGGAAATGAGAAAGAAAGTTGTCTTACCGAGAACTCCAAGGTTAATGTCCCTTGCGAACCCCACCTAGCAAGTCGACATCATGACATGTCAGGTCAGCCTCAACCACGCTTCCCTGATAGTCAGGTAAAAGGAAGGAGTTAAAATACAAAATTGACACTTGCAGATTTCTGGACATCAGAAAATGTGATGCAATATACTTTGAACTGTCTTTCAGAGCTTCTGGTAACCTCCAAGTTGTTAAAACATTTCTTCAGAGGGATTCTCCTGTTCTCAAATTTCCCAAGTTCCTGATCAATAACCAAATCTTACAGATCCACCTTGCCCATTTTGTTTGAATGAGAACAAAAGCTTCAGATTTCCCTTTAACACGAATGACTCCCCCCCCCACTACTCTACACATTTTATCAACTAATACACGCTCAACTTAGCCACTCTGGGTTTCAAAAGACGTTTTAAGCCAATAGACTACAACAGCGTCATTCAAATTCTAAGTTAACAGAAGCTCTAACTTTTTTTTTCTTTAGAAAAAACAGGGAACACAG